CGTCGTTGGCCTGTGGCATGGCTTCCAAGATTGTGCGATTTAACAACGCTGAACCTTTTCTTGTGGGTTTGATGCGTTGTTGCTGGCAATCCGACCCAATTGCTGCAAAAAGTGGTCGAAATTCGCCCCAATCGGCTGACATTCATTCGAACGGCGTTCACTTAAATTAAAAGGAAACTCTGGGCCACAACATTAAACTGAACGCTTTTGAATTCTTCTGAAAACACACCCTTTAATGAAAACGAGATGTGTCACGGGAAATTTAAATCACTTACAACTTTTCCATTCCCTGAACTCTTTTGATTCCACCACAGAAACCTGCATCGAAAGGGACGTTTGCTTATATGCTCCCGCTTCAGCTGAGCTTGTATATTTGTATTGGTTTATACAAGCATGCGATATTACTTATTTACATTTGTTCGTTTGAAAAGTCAGCGCTTTACGGCCACTTTGCGGTGGCACACAGTGAAATTAGCATAAATTTCCGTTTGACAAGTGCAGCATTTGTTGACAAATTGACTGCACTAACAAGACTACTTTAAGCATTTCCAACACTGATTAGATAAACATGAAAATGGTTTTCCGAAATTGGCTCACTGCGTATGTATGGCAAAGCCATACATATTTATAACGAACTAATGTTGACAATTTCTCTGGTCTAGCGCTCAGGCATACCAAGTTCCGTATCTACTTAACCGCAGCCAGTTTGGTGGAGGCCACACAGCCTATTGATGCATGACACCATTTACTTAACAGCGCATGCGGCAGCCTTTATTTAGTTACTCCGCTTTGATTTCTCAGGCAACCTTTTTAGCTTAAAATTAATACGATACAATTTTACACCGTTAATGCACCGTTTGATTTGGTAGCTAATCGATAGAGGTTATTTTAAAAGTGAAAAATTCGTTGCCTTAAGTGAGCAATTAAATGGAGCACAGATCAAAGGACAGCGACCGCGATTGCTAAGCGTTAGATGGACTGCGCATATCGACGCCGAAGTGATTGTAGCCTACATACATACGTTGCACACATGGGTGTAATGGTGGCAGCAGACAGGTGTATGCATGCAGAACAGTCAGTATTAATGGTGAACTTCTGTGCTAGCCTAAAGCAAATGCATTCATGTCGATGTACAGTGAGTGTTTAGGAGAATTTGTTACAAATTAAAAAAAAAAAAATAATAATAATTTGTTTCGAAATATCTTTTGTTTTTGTTTTTCTCACAACCACGGCCTGAACTAATTTGTCCACCAGAATTCACAAAAAAATATTATTGTACAGGGTCATTCATTTACAAAAATTTCTTTTTTTATTTTGAAGTTTAAAACTTGGCTTTATATGTGAATGTCATTTAAGAGACCTCCCGTGAAAATTTTCAAATTTCGATTAGTTTGAGATAATTTTCGACCACTTTTTCGGCACACATTGGACGGTGTCCCAGCCTGACTTGACGCATGTTGGTTTTTAAGTACTCAAGAGTTAGAGGTTTGCCCTCATGGGCATGGTCTTTCGCATAGCCCCACAAAAGAGTCCAAGGCCGCGTTTTAAGCCGCACGATCTCGGTGGCCAATTAATATTGTTCGTCCCGCAATAGAACCATATTCGCTCATCCTATGTGGCTCTACGGTACAATTTTATTGAAACAATGTATTTTCCAAGTCGTCGCAGGCTAAAAAAAGACGGTTTTCATACCATCAAAAGAATTGACAGTGACAGTCTCGCCGTTGTCGTTTTCAAAGAAGTAAGGTCCAATTACAACTTCGTACCGAAGAGCCCACCAGACAGCATCTCTGTTTCGTGTGTAGTGGCCTCGTTTCAATTACTTGAGAATTCTCGTTTTACTTATTTATTTAGTGAGAAACATGCCTCGTCGCTGAGGAAAAATTTTGATCGAAAAATCGCCGAAACATTCCCCGTTGTTCAGGTATCCAAGCGACGTATGTACGAGACTCTGATCAGCTGGCTTCAGTTGTTGTGTAAGCTAGACTTTATATACAAAAGCGAAATGGGCCGTACGAAAGTCCCCGCTCTTGAGCACGTCGAGAGATGGACATATTCTGGTGCATAATATTTGAGGTGGAACGGCCTAAACGATGATGCACAGGCTGTAATCGATCCAATCTGTTAAATCTCTTTGAAATCGCACCAATTGCTAGAGTATGTGCACCATAATCTCCTCTCAAAGCACCAAACGAGGGTATCTTTGCATTACCTATTTCGTTGTTGGTTTTAACGGTTTTTAAGCGTTTCATTTTCATAAGTGCCAGTCTGTTAATTGGTTTAGTTTGGAGAGTTAAGTTTGACAGATGTCAAAATGCAGCATTGTACTTTTGAGACCACGAAATGCATAACCCTTGCTATGCCAAAAGAAAGCGCCCGTGAACCATTTCTCCTTTTGGATTAATTATTAATTCGTTTCGTTTGTTTTATTAGTGAACCTGTTAATTGTGGTTTCAACATATTGTTGTTGTAGCTTCTGCCGCAGCCGCTTAATCCGGGGTTTTAAATATTTGCATTTCTAAGCAAGTACATGTGCTCCTAAGCAGACTACTTATAAAACTATGTATAATCCAATTAATAACGGTACTTTCGCTTATACGAAATGCACACACAGACACAGACAGGTAAAAAGTAAAACAAAAACAAAATTAAATATGTTATTAATCGAATTTGTCATCAGCATACAGAGCGGCATAAGATGAGTCCATAAAATTAGTTCAGTCTCATAAATTGGTAGATTTGCTTTGTTGTGTGAGGTTTGGCGTTTCACCTAACAACTTTAAATTACCATAATTACTAATTATTTGCATTTATATGTAAGCGGCGGGCGAATTGAAATCATTTACAGTTTGAAAAATAAATCAAAACCATAAAATCTCATAAATAGTGTGATAAGCCGTTGCGGTTTATTTGCTTTGGTTTTAAAATTTATCTGCGCTTATTAATATTGATTGCATTTGTAGATTTGACTTTTGACCATGAAGAGCTTGAGAAGACTCTCAAGTCGAAAAAAACTCTGTGCGTCTATGTAGCGTCTTAGGAAAGGTTTGAGCTTACTCCTGTAGCAATTAAGGAGCTGATCTGGTGACCGCTGTCCAGAGTGTATTTAGGGTATGGAGAGAGCACTTTTACAATAGATGAACGCACCTTAGATTGCTTTAGACTTATATTTTCAACGTTGTAGATGTCTGTCTTTTCTTTTGCTCTCCAGCAGAGGATGCCCCCAGCATAGCCGCTGGCTTTTATTTTGCTGTATTAACGACTGATCCAAGTAGAGCTACTTTTTCCATAGACTTTTTATGACAGATCACGTTTACAACTCGTTCACGTTCTGCATTTTGCAAAGAATGTATTTTGGCGCACCACCATTACCCATCTCGAATCAGCATTCATTATTGGATTATAATAGGCCACGTCCAGCACGCAGTGAAGAGAATATACCGGCTGTAACTGAGAGCGTACAGGTAAACGTCGGACTGACGTATGGAACGATTTTAAATCGCATTTTTCATCGTGATCTTAAATTGAAAGCATAGAAGGTACAGCTTGTGCCTGAACTAAAGCTACTCGACCTTCCGAAGCAAAGGGCCTAGGAAAGGTTCCGTTTGTTCAGCGATGAGTGGCTTTGTAAACGAATAAAATTTCCTTATTTGAGACAAAGAGCAAGAACAGTCATTTGTCTAGAAAAAAACGGTTTGATATGGTGGATGTCCTGAGGAATCCTCTTCACATAGTACGCATTTTGTGAGCTGCAGCCCATAGCTCGTTCCCAGAATATATTAGCCCAACGAAGTAGCATTACTTTTTGCTTTTGATTCACTTCCTTTAATGGCACTGGACACCCACCTTAGCCACTTCATCAGCTATGTTGTTACCATCATTGTCCGTGTGGCTTTGCACTCTCTAAATGTACACTCTTCTGTATTCAGACAGTACCTGAATCGCTTCTTTACATAATACGACCACAGCTGACTTCGTGCTGTATGAAATTAAGGCCTTGTCTCTAGTTGGGCGCAGTAAACTGAAGTTCTCACTCCTTCCTTCATTTTAAAAACATCTGAACAATTTTGTCTCCACATTTTTGACCTTTGCTCCAGCCAAATTCCTGTATTGTAGCTTAAAATGACTACCCTAAAATCAGGCACGGCACGCTAAGGAGCCAAACCCGTGCCCGTAAGTTCTGTCTTTCAGCTTCCAGGAAGTATGAAGCCTTGCGGCAATTCAGAATGCTATGTTTTTAGCTACCAGATTTGCTGGCGGAATGCTTAAAATCGCTGTAGCGCATTAGATGGTATTGTTTTGAGTGCGCCAGTGATACACATCATTGAAAGTCTGAAAAACAGATATCCTTTTTAGATTTCCACCACTTTTTAAACACCGTAGAAAAGTATTGTCTTATCAAAGATTAGTCGACAGTTGAAATCTGTTCTTTACCAACAGTTTGGAGATAGTTTAATATGGATGCTGCATCTAACGGCTGTTCTGCCACTGGTTTTTCGTTTCTCCATTTGGGACATGTTAAATTTAACACAGACAACTTTGCCGGTGCCTCCTTTTTTCGTCGGACTTTTGCTTGACATTCGTCGATTGAGTTGAGTGTTAATATTTATTGGGCGATAAGTACTCTATTCCGTTCACTACGTCTCTTGATTGGTAAATCCGCGAGCTTTCCAGAAGACACCGCCGCTAATTCGATGTACGGATTGAATTTACCAGCGTGGCTACCACCAATCTCACTCTCATGGGTTGCTTTTCGCTCCTTGCATTGAGATTGTTCTTTGTTACCAAAGCGCACGTCACGTGGATCGTTAAAATGCTTTTTGAAAGTCTTATTATTTCAAAAATCACTTCATATTATAAGATTTCTCATGCTGAAAATTTCCACTGCACCATACTTTTTGTACTCATAATGACTAGGTCATTGCACTGACTTTCTATGCTTTCAACAGGTGACCCATAAAGGACATACATACACACATGTATATAGTTGTTGATATAACCACCAACACAACCGTTAAATAGTACATGAATTTACCGAAACAAACAGCTGATTGCATTGTTACGAAAGTGAAGATGTAAACAAAATAGAAGAAAACTCGCACTGGGCAGTGTAGAGTGAGAGCGCGCGATATCAAAACGCATGCGTGAGCACAAGTAGAGTATTGGAGATTTGGAGACTGAATTCCAATGCAAGTATACCGAGTGCGCAACATCACAGGATGTCATCTGAGGCATCTTCAAATTGATTTTATCCAGCAGCAGTTACAGAATCACCAAAATCCGCACCCATTTCGAGTTAGAAGAAAAATTTTCATTTTAATTTTTTTCCACGGAAAAGTATTATAAAAAACATTGAAAATAGTTGAAAAAAGGTAAATTCAGCGTTTGGTGTTAAGCTGGTGTAGTGAAAAAGTGTTTATTTCTATCGAAATTCTGCAGTTTTAAGGTGAAAAATATTTTTACTTGCTTATCTACTTAATTAAGGGCGTAGAAAAAAGCAGGAGGAAAAGCTGAAAATTTATGAATACAATGTTTCACGGAGCTTCTAAGTAAACGGCACAGCGCATTTGTTGTACGGAAGCTGTGCTCCATTCTAGGCACGGCACAGCATTTTGGTAAAGTCATGGCACACAATAAGGCGAGCTCATGGTGGAGCTGCAGCCTGGCGCTGCTGGTGCTGCTGTTGGTTTTCACACATCTACAAAAAGGCAAGTTTGAAAAGTATTATATGTGCACAAATACTATATATATATGTATTTACATCTATGCAGTTATGCATACCGAATTATGGATATAAAAAAAATGTTATGAAATATTCTATGCCATATATGATATGTATGAAAAATTAATATGTTTTATTGTATTAGCTTTAGCATTGTAAAGTACCATGAGAAATATGTATGTATAATATATATACCAACAACAAAAGCTGCCTACTTAAACCTACCCAATTATACATATATATATATACATATATACATATGTTAATTTTTTTTTAGCTTTATGTAAGAGTATGGAGCGAATGATTTGATTTTTTTCTAATTTATGCAAAATGGAAGCTTTGACAAATATTTAAAATTTTTCACTAAGGAAAAAGGAAAAATTTTTAAAATTTGTTTAAGCTCAAGACCCCCAGACGAGATTAATGAACTAGTAGCCATTATACCTAGCAACGCAGTTGGCGTTTGCTTGTTTTTTTTTTTTTAATTTATGTGCAAATTTCGTTTAAAATCCTCCTCTAGGAAATTCCACCGCGTCCTTTTTTTTGACATTTTCATATATTTATTTTCAAAGCGCCTTCTTAGTTATTGATTTATTTATTATTTTTTATTTGCTTATCAATTGCTTACAAATCAATGCATCTTTCTCTTACAAACGCATCTATATGCATACATATATACTCGTATGTATGTATATGTACATAAAAATCATGCATAAAAATACCAAAAATCGTTAAAGACAGCAGAAACATTACCTGCAGTTACATATATTTTTCGTTTGCATTCGATTAGAATTGTTAGTAGTGCGTGAAATTGCCAAGAAAAAGTAAATTCTGATTTATTGCCAAATTAAAAAAAAAAAAAGAAAAAAAAATTATGTATTTAATGCTTAAAATGCATCCAAAAATTTGCTTTTACTGTTATGTGTACTTGCAATTAGTGTAAGTATGTATTTAATAAATATATCTCAACAATATTTGTATCATACGTGTATGTACATATGTAACTTTCATGATTTTTAACACATCGTCGTAACTGCAAACGCAACAGAAATTAAAAAAAAAATATATATATATTATAACAAAAAAAAAAACAAAAATTATAACAGTATATGTATTTAAAAAACATAAATTTATATGAATAAATTTCTGGGCGTATTTGTCGGCAACACTTTTTCAATTGTGTTGAGCATCAAAGACGAAGCAATCGCAAATTTATGCAGAGGATAAATTTTACTTTCTCTCTCAACGTCAAAACAACGCACTCTAGCACTTTAGTTACATACATATGTACGTATATAATAACATATATACATGTACAACAGCGTATATGCTTTTAAGCGATTCAAACCAAATTTAAACAGTATCTGTTTCTTTCCCTCTACAGCCTCCTGCACGCTGCAATTATTTTAAAATTTTATTGTTAGCGTAAAAAGAAAAACAGAGTAAAAATGGAAAGCATCAGCTTTTACATAAACAATAAAGATGATAATGTATTGTAAAAACTATGAAATCAAAATCACTAGATTTCTGTATTAACTGCCGAATCTTAATTCATACTCCTTCTGAAACCGAGCATTTTCAGAACTAAGCCAAAAACAAAAAAAAAAAAAGTTAAGCAAACCAAAAGCAAAAATATTAAGGGTACGAAAATGAAGCGTTAAATGCGCAGACTTGAAAGAGCACTAAGAAACCAATACACATGCATTTTAACCAAAAAATAGCGTATAGTAAAGAATACCTCACTCCGCAAAAAAATACAGCACTTTTCAGAGCAAGAAATTATTAAAACGAAATTAACATAAGAACGCCTAACAAATTTGCAGCACTTTGAAACTCGTAACAAACCCACAATGAATTCACTTAAATCTCTTAACAAAATCTACCTTCAAATTAAACCGTTCAACTTACCATTTGCTAACTTACATACAAAAAAACATACATCCTTCTGCAATCACGAAACTACTGTATACCATTCTCTATGCCTCTGTCTCTCTAATATTTCTCTCAAACTTCAACGCGGCCTTACTTACATACACATTGTCGTATATGTAGTTTAAATCTATAATAGCAGGAACCACCGACATATACACGCAGTTTCTTGTATGTTTTCAAAAGAGAAATAAACAATCTTAATAAAAATTCTATCTACAAAAGACACCCTGAAACAATCTAAGTTTTTATCGCTCGAATCAGCCAACAATTGTTTACACTCCTCATATTTCCAAGATACATTTTTTCTCGCTCTCTTCCTAGCGTCATTTTGGTTTTCTACTCTACAACTGAACCACTCTAAACTCTCTCTCTCTCTCTCTCTCAATCACTCTCTCTATTCCAATGCGTTCCTTTTACTCTTATTATTTATTTATTATTTTAAAAGTTTTATTTTGATTACAATTTTCGTGTTTACCTGCTTGTTGCGACAAATTCTATCACATCCCCTCTCTCTGTCTCTCTCCTCATGCATGATAATCATCACAAGAAAGTATTAAAAGATGAGCTTTAAGAAATAGTTTAGTAATATTTAGGTATCACACATACATTTATACATATATTGGTAATAACTTTTGGAAAATTCAAAGTGTTTTATGAATATTGCTTGCATGTGCATACCGTTAAATACACATACTGTCATATACCATAATGTAAGTGTTTATTTTTTCATTAGTTAAAATTTACAAAATATTTTAATTTTAATTTGTACAACAAACAATTAAAAAAATCAGTATCCCTAAAAAATAAAATCACAAATATATGCAAAAATAAATTAATTAAAATATTTCAATAATCGAAACGAAAATAAATAAAACTAACATTAAATAAGATTAAACGAAACAAATTTAAACAAATTAAACGAAACAGAATAAAATAATATAAAATAAAATAAGATCATGTAAATAAAAATAAAGTAAAATCGAATAAAATAAAATGAAACCACTTAAACTGATCATAGTAAAATAAAAAAATAAACAACTTTAAACAAAATGAATTAAAGAAAAATTAAATGGAATTAAATAAAACAATATAAAATAAAGTTCAAATAAAATATAATAAAACATATAAAATAAAATAAAATAACTTCAAATTAAATAACCGGAATTAAATAATATAACAAAAAAAATAAAAATTAAAATAAAATAAAAAAAAAAATCAAACCAAATATTTTAAAATTAAGTCAAATAATATAACCTAAAATAAAAAATTAGAAAAAGAATAAAATAAATTAAATTAAATTATATTAAATATAACAGAATTAGATAAAATTAAAAAAATACGAAAATAATAAGTATATAAAATAAAATAAAATAAAAATAAAAAATAAATTTGAAAATATTCAAAAACGAAATATAATTAATCAAAAAAAAGGAAATTATTGATTAAAATTATAAAATAAAATTAAGATATATATAATTAAGTCGAATGAAAAATAAAACTAAAATAAAATGAAATAAAATAATAAATAATAAATGATAAAAAAAAGAAGTGAAATCAAATCAAAAAAATAAAATAAATTGAAACAAAATAAAATAAAATTATATAAAATTAAAAAAATTCAAAAAAACTAATAATATAAACTCCAAATCAAATTCAAAACAATATGAAAAAATTTATAATCGGAATATAATTAAATAAAATAGAGGCAAAATATTAATTAAAATCATATTAACTAAAATAACATTAAGATAAAAACAAAACTAAAATAGAACTGAAATAAAATAGCAAAAAAATGAATAAAATAAAAAAATGAAGTCAAATTAAATAAAGTAATATAAAAAAAATTAAAATAAAATGAATTAAAATAAATTACAATAAAAAAAAGCAAATAATAATAAATAAAGTAATAAAATAATAAAAAACTGAAATAAAATAATATAATATGAAATGAATTAAAAAATAAATTAAATTAAATTAAATAAAGTAATATAAATAAAATTAAAATAAAATGAAATAGTACAAAATGAATTAAAATAAAATAAAATAAAATAAAAACAAAATAATATAATAAATAAAAAAAAACATAATAAAAAATAAATAAAAAAAAATAAAATAAAGAAAATAAAAAAATTAAATAAAGTATAATAAAATAAAACGAAATAGTTTAATAAAAAAAAACAATAAAAATTAAATAAGAGAAATTAAAAGAGAAACTAAAATAAATCAAGCGAATCGTAAGGACCTAAATAATGAAAAAAAAATAAAACAGAGAATCAAATATGATAAAAAAAACTTAAGCAAAATGAAATGAATAAAATCATTAATGTAAAAAAAAAACATGGTAAAACGATTTGTTACTAAGAATGCGTAAATAATAAGTTTATAAAATTTGGCGCTTTGTAGCCGCTGAAGCGATTTTCGGCCGAGCTCCTCCTCCAGTTTATGGTTTGGCGTCTTTTATGATTTTCCAGTAAATGGAGGGTCCTCAATTTATTATAAACCGCCTCCAAACGGCTGCTGGTTTTTAATGAGGAGCTCTTATTTCATTTCAGAAATACACTCGGAGGCGTTGACCGCAATTAGAAAATTGAACTTAATTTTAAAACAAATTTAAATTAAAAAAAATAAATATGCAAAATAATATAACTGTAAAATATATAAATTAAATCAAAAGGTGGAGTGCAAAAAATTAAACAATTTATTGTTCCACTTTCTTAATTTTACTAAAACTTTTAGAGAGTTGTAAATTAGATGTAAAACATGAATTTAGAAGCAACATCACAAATCTTTTGAGCATACATTCACATACATATCGGTCTAAGCAATTAACCACATGATCAGAAAACGATTTTCATACTTCAATTTCTGCCATTAAAGTTTTTCACTTTTGTTGTATAAAATTAGTTAAAGTGAACAAAGTTAATGCATGCGATTCGCCATAATTCCAACATTCCTTTTTTTTTTTTGATTTTGTGCATCGATTTTATTAAACTGCATAACTTATCTTTACATGATTACTAACTAGTCATTTTTGCATCTCTCTTTAAGTATACACCACTCAATTCCCAACTACTATCTTTCTCCTGCTATCTAAACATACCTACATACAAACACATACGGAAATACATAATTATTTGGTTTTAACTGTCTATCTATCTGTGGCATTGTGCATTTAATCAACAAAACATAAAACAAAACAAAAACAAAACAAAACAAAAACAAAAAAAAAAAAAAACGAAAAAAAAAGCAACAAAAAAAAAATAAAACTCCTTTCTTTGCAACATACATTTTTTTGTATAAAATATTATTTACTCGTGTCTCATAGTAAGTGCATCCGAAGATGAAGAACGCTTGGTACGTGATCTCTTTCGTGGGTATAACAAACTTATACGACCCGTTCAGAATATGACACAAAAAGTTGGAGTAAGATTTGGTTTGGCGTTCGTACAGCTAATCAATGTCGTAAGTGTGCATTACTACTACTACTACTACTACTACTACTACTACTACCACTACCACTACTAGTACTAACACTGTTACTACCGTCATAACTAGTACTAACAGCTACTAATCCTACCTACATACCATCGCTACTACTAACTTAAATAGTTTAATTGCTACTACTGCTACTACTTCCATCGCTGACTTCACTTCAAATACTACTTAACACTTGATTTGACAATGACTAGACCAATACATATATATGTATTTATAAGTACTAAAGGGTTTTCCGATAAGAGAAAGTTGTGAAGTTAGTCCGTGACTTTTTCTTGTTCATTGTGCCGTATATAAATAGCTGCTTTTCAGGATTCAGGAGAATAATTGCAAGAGAGAATCATAATGAATTCCTCGTCAGTTTGAAAAAAATAACGAAAATGTAAACAAAACATATTTTATTGATTGCGGCCTCTCTAAAAATCCATCACCGGCATAAAATAATATTTTTGTATAATAAATAAACTTAGCCTTTGATTTGGAGTCAGACTTCTGCTGGGGACATTTAAACCATTTCAACTTGAAATGGTGAGCAACGAGAGAACGGCGTATTCTCTCTGGAAAGCGTGTATGGAACTAATCGAGGGTAATTCATTTTGATTTTCTCTCCATTTGTACAGAAAAAAAAAGAAAAATCGAATTTAATTGGGCATGCTTATGATCATTCCAAAGAGCGTTATTTTGGCTTTTTTTCTTTATTACCTCTTTCATGATTTCGATGACTCGTTCGAGCCTCATTCGAGCATTTCCACTGGTAGTTGGCGAATGACACGTGTGATACTTTGCTCCAAGGTCTGAATTGATGAGCGATTGTTCGTATTGATCATTGACTTTACGTTTCCCCAAAGGAGAGTCTAATGGTGTGATATCTTACGATCTTGGCGATCAATCGACCGGCCCACAACATGAAATTATCTGCTCACTGAAGTGTTGTCTCAAGAAATCTATTGATCGATGTGATGTGCGGGAAGTCGTGCCCTCTTGTTGAAACCGAATTTCACCTAGATCACAAGCTTCAATCTCAGGCATCAAATAGTTGATTACCATTACGTCATAATGGCTGTTATTGTTGTTGTAACCGCAAAAATATTCCCCAAAGTACTTTTTGGGGAATGTTGCGGGAGTGACAGTCCTTGGTCGGATGAAAATCCGGGTCGTTCCGGTATAAAGACCCAACTGTCGCGGGAACTGTTGGATTTTAGTCGCCTCTTAAGACAGGCATGCCTTACAGCGGGTAAATTCTTGAACCCCTAACCCGCCAGGGAACTTGACAATGGGGGAACTTGGCGGTTACGTTCTCGCTGGCATCATTTTTGAAGAAATATTTACGCATGATTCCACCGGCTCACAAACCACGCTAAACCGGTGTTTTCCCCCGATGAAATGGCGGCTCTTGAACCTCTTCAGGTTATTCTTCGCCCCATATGCGGCAATTTTGACTGTTTGTATAACCATTGATCCAGAAATTGGCTTAACAAAATTTAGCTCAGAAACGTCGGATCTTCTAGCAACTTTTCAAGAGTCAATAGCGCGAAGCTATATGGCTTGGGAAGGTCGAGCAGTTTCAGTTCTTGAATGAGCTGTATTTTATACGCAAAACGCGCCAAATCGTTCCATAAGTCAGTACGAGAACGCTGCGAACGGCTCCGAATCAGCTCACCACGGTCTTCGTGTACACTTTCAGCTATATTTTCTTCACAGCGTTCTGGAAGTAGTCTATTCGGTCAAATTTTATTCAATAAACAATGTTGGGTCTCAAGATGGGTGATGATACACTCCGTAGGGCAATTATGTGGACCATAAGTTGAGGGAAGTGCGCGAAGCACACTGGTCACTCAAAAAGCCAATGAAATTCTGCAACTCGTGATAACTCCGCCGAGGATATAGAGAAAGCAGCAGACACTTGGCAGCTTAAAATTAGTTAGTAGTCTGACAACTTAGAAAATTAATTATTATTTTATCATCCGGCCCGCAGAAAAATTGTTGTTTTGAGAAAAATATGGTCGCAGCTACTTTGCGGCTCACCGTCTACCACTGCGAGAGGTCCTATAACTTTGTCCATTATTCTGAATTTTGCTCTAAAATTTTTGCAGTCTATTCTTATTACTTATACATATAGTACCCTCGAAAAAAAGTCGATTTTTCCAAACCAAGTGCTTGGACGCACAAGAAATAATGCAAATTTGCCGAATTTTCATGAGTGAAAAATTTACGAAGCGCGACAAAATCAAAAGACTCATATATAAAATGATAAAAAGTCTTGGCCAAAAGCCGACGATCGTCCACATACGATTTCAAAGCCTGAATTGAAAGCAAAAAAAAAAAGATGCTGAGTACATGGTGGAACGTCGTCGGAAAGGTTTGGCTGTAACCACTGCAAATACTGGACCTTAGCTCATCTAACTACGATTAATTGCATTACATTCTCTTTAAGAGGTCGTACATGGTAAAAAAGTTGTTGACCGAAGAACCATTGAAAATCATTTGACTCTATGGATAAATCAAAAAGGCTTCTTAAAATGTTATAGATGAAATTGTTTCAAATTCAATTTCAGTAAAGTAAAAATACAAACAAAAAAGAAGGATAAAACAAACATGAACACAATGCTTGTCAAGTTTCCTGCAAATTTGAAGAACATTTTTTTAAGGAACCATGCCAAACCTGGCTAGTTTCTCTCAACACGCGAAATAATTTTTTCCCCCAAAGTTCTCCTTCCAATCAAAGAGTTTGAGTAGTTCAAATAAGGCCACCATTATCACATGCTTGCCAGATTTTAGACTGCTCTATTGGAAAGCCCTTGTGAAGTATGAATTCAACTCTATCGTACCGAACTACATAACACAAACAAAACGTGAAATCACAATACTTACACAAATGTAATTTAAAAACTAAATGATTCAATACAATTAGCGTTTGTTTAATTAAGTTGTTAAGTCATGTGAGAAATCATTTAATATATAATTTTTATTTAACATTATTTTTTTGAATTTTTTTTTTTTTTTGATATTCTGTGTAAATACGGTTTTTCAGTGCAAGGTCTCATCATAACTAATTGCTAACATATATGAAATAATTTAAGAATTTATATATACAGAAATAATAATAATTTTTGTAAATGTTTTTAACATGCATATTGTATATATATACATACTTGCAGGTGTTCTATAAATATTTTTTTTTTTAATAAACTCGTATATATACTTATATGCTATGTATTCATGCGACCACCATACATACAAATATACATACATACATCATTTAATGCAGTCATAATGTGAAACATATTTACATAGTTCTTCAGTTCTTCACTTTGCCAGTTGTTTAAGATTTTTTTTATTTATTTTTAATTTATTTTTATTTATTTTTTTATTATCTTTTAATGTTTTTTGTTGTAATTATCTAAAACATAACTTTTCACTGTATTGATATTGTACTCCTCCCCTTCATCGTTTATGTACGAAATCTCTAACTGAAATTGAAAAAATGTTATACTTACACACAATTCTGTATAACTAACTGCCCGAATTCACAAACGAAAATCTGAAACTGAAAATTCAAATCACAAAAAAAAATCAAAAAAAAAAAAAAAACAAAAAAAAAATTACATATAAAATCACTATCGAAAACCTCAGAATGAGAAAAATCAAATTATGAAATCAAACGTTTGGTTACGTTTGGTTTGGTACGATTATCAATTGCAATGGGATGAGGCCGATTACGGTGGTATTGGTGTACTTCGTTTGCCGCCCGATAAGGTTTGGAAACCGGATATTGTATTGTTCAATAAGTGAGTAAAAAAATATATATTTAAAAAAAAATTATAAAAAATGCAAAATTATACAACCACATATATAAGTATTTCAAATATAGATATTGGCAAAAAATATTATTTTTTAATTGTAAATAAATAAATACATACATAAACATAATATCTAGGGATGAACTTATAGTTAATTAAACGTTTAATTAAAATATATTAATAAATTTATTAGTCAAATATTACTTGGATATTTTTTTGGTAACACCACTGTAAATACAAGTAAAAAAATCTGCCTATATGAAATTTCTTTGGTAAATATTGGCCGATCTTTCCCCCATAAACACTGTCTTTTGCGTGGCTAACACGATCTCGGTAACCAATTGACATCGCCAAGACAAGAGAAGATTTCTCGCTGTTAAACCCTTTTTGAAACCACATTTTGTCCAATTCCAATTTGTCTTCAATTTCAGACAAAAAAAAAGTCGGTTATCATACGACCATAATACTCCGAACTGCCAGTGAGAGTCTCGCCGTTGTTGTTTTCAAATAAGTAAAGTGCACAGTCTCGAGGCAAAGAACGGATCCAACAATAAGTGTTTTTTTTTTTCATGTAATAAGCTCTCTTTTCTCGGAGCTCCAATTGCGAGAATTTAGCTTCTTTTCGAATTCACCAACAGAGAAATGTGCCTCGTCGCGCTGAAATTTTGTTCTAAAAATCGCCGAAATACTTCACGTTGTTCAAGCATTCGATCGACGTTTCCACGACGTTGCGAGCTGGACTTTATATGTCGTAGGTGTAAATCCAGGTGCAAAATCTGTACAGTGTGTCAGATATAAAAATGCAGCACGGTATTGGTAAAGTCAAGAAATATATAGCCCTCTGTATTACTGACGGATCAACCCACTGCTTTGACTATTGATCGTACAGATCTGAAACTTTGAAATGATTTTCCGGGAATTGGACCTCAAACTGATTGACACGATAAAAAATCGAATTTATTTTCCAATTGTTTGATTTTCAAAATAATTGCTCAAATCGGCGGGGTTTACACTTTTTCTTCCCAGAATTGGACTCGGTTGATTTACATACCAAACTGCCCTTGGAAGCACTTTTTCCCGCAAAGAGGGTCTAAAACCGATCAGTTCGAGAAATATCGAACTTACTTTTGAATCGTTTGATTTCTTTCGGGAAGTGACCCTGGGTTCTGTTCGATGACTCGATTTTTCTTAATAAGTTGAGCACAAGTTAGTGGCTCTTTGCCAAGGTTAGCATATTTGATGCTCTGTTCGGAAGAATGGTTCACATAGTTCGACTTGCTGGATATCTGGAACAAAAAATGCTCATAAAAAAGGCACCTCGGCACTCCGTTAGAAGGGTGTAAAAATAAAAGTAAGTGGAATCAAAACAGATTTTTTTCTTAATGAAAATAGCTGGAGAATCTAGTAGGGGACTAAAAGAATATTGAATTCTGGGCAAGCATTTGAAGGAGAATTCATTTTTTACCCATCTCATTCTCCTAGAGGTATCTAAATATTATTGGAGAGACTTAGAAAGAAACCAATTTGAAGCTATTCAAAATTATTTGAGTCATGGTCCGCGCCGATTCCAAAGAACGCGTTCTAAGAGAAACTTTATAAATTTATTTTTGCAGAATAGCCCGGTCCGCTCGGTAAAACGCTCGAAATTTCAATGAAATCAATTTTGGACATTGTTAAAACCGTTAGTTCTATATTTTACAAAGTTCAAGGAGATGTTTAAGCGAATAAGAAACATGGATATTTTTATATATCTACAGTGGTGTTACCGCTCAATAATAATATCTTTTATAGTTCTTCAATATTTATAAAATGCTTTATTAATTCCCTTTTATAAAACACTGTTATTTTTTTCTAACATCTCTCAATTCACCTTTCCCACCTTTAAGTGCTGATGGCAACTACGAAGTACGCTACAAGTCAAACGTTCTTATCTACCCAACGGGCGAAGTGCTCTGGGTACCACCGGCCATCTATCAGAGTTCGTGCACCATTGACGTCACCTATTTTCCGTTCGATCAACAAACTTGTATCATGAAATTCGGTTCTTGGACATTTAATGGTGATCAAGTGTCACTGGCTTTGTATAATAATAAAAATTTTGTCGATCTTTCCGATTATTGGAAATCCGGCACGTGGGACATAATCGAGGTGCCGGCCTATTTGAATGTCTACGAAGGCGATGGCAATCATCCAACCGAAACGGATATAACATTCTACATAATTATACGTCGGAAAACTTTGTTCTACACAGTGAATTTGATACTGCCAACTGTGCTGATCTCATTTCTGTGCGTTTTGGTGTTCTATCTGCCAGCCGAGGCTGGTGAAAAGGTAATATCCAACCATTCTTCATTTTTTTTTGTAGTAAGTTGCAAGGTTCTAGATATACATATATGTATTTCTGTAAAATAATTTTTTAAATATTAAATATGCAAAACAATATTGTTAACTGATTTCATTTTATTGATTCTAAATAATAAATTCTTGCTTTGCTTTCTCGCAACCAACACAACAGGTCACTTTAGGCATAAGCATTCTGCTGTCACTGGTTGTGTTCCTGCTGCTCGTCTCGAAAATTCTTCCACCAACTTCGCTGGTGCTGCCACTTATCGCCAAATATTTACTCTTCACCTTCATCATGAATACGGTTTCCATTTTGGTTACAGTCATTATTATCAACTGGAATTTCCGTGGACCGCGCACACATCGCATGCCCATGTGGATACGCACGGTCTTCTTGCATTATCTGCCCGCATTTTTACTCATGAAGCGTCCACGTAAGACCAGATTGCGTTGGATGATGGAAATGCCGGGCATGAGTATGCCCGCACACCCACATCCCTCGTACGGTTCGCCGGCTGAACTGCCCAAGCACATCAGGTAGGAGATCTTAAATTATGCACGCAGTTCTTGGGTTGGTATTCCATTTCGATTTGTTTTTTAACTCCATTGGCATTTTAGTAAATATTAATTTTAAAATAATAACTACACCATTTCCATAGCGCCATTGGAGGGAAACAATCAAAAATGGAGGTTATGGAGCTCTCCGATTTACATCATCCTAATTGTAAAATTAACCGTAAGGTAAACAGCGGCGCAGATTTGGGTCTTGGCGATCAATGTCGGCGTGAGAGTGAATCGTCCGATTCGATATTACTCTCACCGGAGGCCAGTAAAGCCACAGAAGCTGTTGAGTTTATAGCTGAGCACTTGCGTAACGAAGATCTGTACATACAGGTGAGTTATGAAAATAGTAGTTCAAAATATTTACATCGAGGTATCAAAGGGATATTTTGGTTTGGTGAAATAGCGATTGTCACTGTAGAAAACTCCAAAGAAACTCACTTCACGCGTACTTCCAGCTCAACTCGTATAGGTATTTCTGTTGGTAGAGACTAATATCGCTCCTGCTTAAGCCTGATTTGCTTAGTCAGAGGTATGATACATAAAACATGTGGAACATCTTTCTCTCGAAAATTCAGTCAGGAAGAATATAAATCAAGTTTCCTGTCCTAGTTTGAGCAACATCCAATATTATGGAAAATTGATTTTTCTAATTGCGGTCGCTTCTCGGCTGAGAATATCAACCCCTTCGACTGCATTTTTGAGATGAAATACGAATTTCCTCATAAAAATTCATCGACCGTTCGGAAGCGGCTGAGAATTAAATATAAGCCCTTCCATTCTTTGAAAAATCATCACAGGAGCTCGGCCGAAAATCACTTTATCTGCTGCAAAAATTAAAATTTTGGAATGAAAAGAAACTCTCTATAAGGTGTCTTTGTTTTCTTCGCTTCTTAAGTCGTTTTTCTTGATACGACAATTGTTTGATCAGGATTGACATACCAAAGCAAGCAGAACCTAGCCACCTGCCCTTCAACAGGAAGGAATCCCACATCGCGACCGCAATAATGAGCTCTTCACTTATATAATATATATAACTGACGCTTTGTAACCGCTGGAGCGATTTTCCGCCGAGCTCCTCCTCTAGTTTACGGTTTTGCGTCTGCCATTCAACAGGCTGCCGATGTGATTCGTGCAAACAGCAAATATGCTCTGAACATTGGTCAGCAGATTACCACCGCATTAGTATACTGCCATTGCTTCGTTCCGCACGTGTTGTTGTCGATCGCAAGGTTATATGGTAAGCGATCTGTTTCACTTTTTCTCTAACTGCCGTGACCCAACTATTTCCTTGTTGAATTTTCTTTTGCTGGAACACGGTACTAAATTTTGTATGGAATCTAACGCTGGATCGATATTCCCAGCAGGTGCTGCTTGAGACGGAGTAGCCAATTGAAAACTGAAGTCTCCTTTCAACAAATAAAGACCAAACATACAATGGACGATGTCAACATCGATGAGTCGGCTTTGTGATAATTCGAGAGAAAAGTTTTGCGAACGATTTATGGTCCATTGCCTATTGGCAAGGGCGTATTCGGCGGTCGAATGAACGATTCAGTTCAGCGAATAATGAGGCAGCGGCTAAGGTTGCTAGGTCATGTAGTCAGAATGAAGGAAAGGACTTCAGCTTCATAAGTAGTCGAAGCAGTGTCCGCTGATGGAAGCATAAAAAGAGGAATACCTCCACTTTGCTGGAAGGTTCAGGGGGATAGCGAATTGGTTTCACATGGTATTTCCAGCTGGCCCTTCGCTGCGAATAGAAAGAACGAATGGCTCTTTAAACGCATAAGCGATGCCTATGCCAACGAGGGAGAATGAGAATTTCATAACTCTAAACTAAAATTATAGTTGATCATAATAAGATTAAAAGCTTAATTTTGTAGTTCTGCTAATACATAAAATGCAATATTTTCAATATTACGTCACGTCTGTCATTCTTTACCCTTGTATTATAACTAATTCCAACAACAAAAAACTTATTATCCACTAAATTTAAAAATTTCCTTAAACATTCTTCTCTTACAGACTCGTGAGGATTGGAAATATGTAGCCATGGTCATCGATCGCCTCCAACTCTACATCTTCTTCATCGTGACCACTGCCGGTACCGTTGGCATACTTATGGATGCGCCACATATCTTTGAGTATGTGGACCAAGATCGAATCATCGAAATTTATCGTGGAAAATAAATGAAAAAACTAACGAATTAACAGCAGTAAAAAATTTGTGAAATTCAAAATTCAAATAATTTTCCAAGCAGAGAGTGCGGGTTTTGGCACTAATCCGTTGTTAGTGAAGAATTATAACGAACCAAATTTCGAAACTGCACTTCAACACTAAACTCAGTTTGAATCCCATTCCTTTGGATGTTTATTATTCGAGAAAACTCACACGACAAGTTAACATAGTTTTTTCCCAATATTAACATTTAAATTTGTACACTTAAGGATTTTTAATTAGGAAAAATAAGTTAACATAAGTGCAAGGCTTCGTAAAGGAAATTGTTATATTAAGCGCTTCAATAGCAAAATTATGAATTAATTGAACAAAGTAGAGCATTTTATTATTAAGAAGAGAGAGAGAGAAACCGTTAAGCAGCAGGAAACAGACGAAACATAAAATTTAGCGAATTAGATTAATTAGCGCAGTTAAGCCAAGAAAATAGCAAATTAAATAACAACAAATAAAAATCGCTTTTACTCACAACGGTACTCAGTAGTAAATTTTCAGTGAGTAGCTTTTTTTCTGCAAAAGAGAAAAATCTATGAATTAGAATTGACTAAAAGAAGAACTTTTATTAACGAGCACAACAGCAATCGATTGAATAAAAATAAATATGCTTCCAGAAAACTTTGTGTTTTAATATGAACCAGCGGCAGCACAACAATTGTATAAACAATTGAAAAATTTCTGTGTTAATTTAACTATATCCGTCTGACCATTTGTTTATAGGGAAAGTGGTCCTAAAGTTTTTTTTGAAGCTTATCGAAAGAATATTCGACGAAAACCAAACGACGTTTAGTTTATTGTATATCAACAGTCATATATCGATATAGTCGACGAACACTTGCAGCCGCACTGTGTGTTGTACGAACACGCCATAAGACCTCTTACTTTTTACTCTGGTATAATCTCCCTAAAATCAGACTCTGGCCACCTTAGAGAAAAACGATATTGATTTTTTATAACATCTTCGTCATTTACAGCCTCCCAGGTTAGCAAATTTTTGTGAAATATATTCCGTGGTGTTGGTCTAGCAGCTAACGAGGGAAAAGAGTTGGCAGCTGAAACTTCGACTATTTCGGATCCAGCAGCAACTGCACTGATAATGTGCTACTTTGCCTCCTGTAACGGAATGACAAACTCTTGACGAACCAAAATTACGCTCTAAAAATCTATTCTCATGACCGTTCTTTTGTACAGAACTAAGACTATTCGAGAGGTCTATGGCCCTGGCCGAAAAAGAGAATGAACATCTACGCTGGCTTGAACATGTCGTTCGCATTGACGAAGATGCTACAGTGGAAAGATCAGTTTAATCGGTACCCACCCCGAACAACATGGAAGGACAAAGTCCAGAAGGACCTGTTTGGTTTGAATAACTGGCGGAACTACTCTAAGCAGAGAGGAGCTTGGCGAAATTTTTTGTGCTCGGCTCACAGTGTGTAACGGTTGCAGAGCCATGGAAAAACTGAAAAAGATGCCGTGAATATACTTTCGTATCGATACCGCTAGTAGTGTTATACAGAAGACGAAATATTTGATATTATTGAGCTCAACCGAACTTACAAGTTCCTTCAGAATCTCCATCGATGATTCCAAAACTGATTTTTGTTATGGAATGCTTACCGAGGTAACTTGGTTTTAACTTCTTCTACTTCTCACTTTGCCAGGTGCCCTAGTTTAGCACTACGTCAACCTTAATGTCTTAAAACGTTTTTTTTTTTAGATATCTAGATGCTGATCTCTGGGGTTGTGCAAACCTTTTGGAGAGATTTATGGAATTGAAAGAGCATAGCAACTGTTTATCAAAAAAAAAGAATATGCTCGCTACGCTTGATGAAGAAATTGCCAATAGATTGAACATAACATAAGCATGCAGCGGAAAATCCGCTAATTGAAGAAACACCAAAATAGAATCAGAACCCAATGAGACATTAAATATTTGTTTGCTGCCGCCGCTTTATAACCAAGCCAATTCGAATATCTCAAGTACTCAACAAACTGAGATGAACTTTTAATTTATGCACAGCATTGGGCTGGTTTGTCTATGAACAAGCTTGGCTGGCTGTCTGGCTGGCTGAACTTTAAGGGAATTATAAGGCAGTCGTCCATTCGAATGTCAATGGTACACGCGACAAGCAGCAGCGTCTAGCACAGCAACAACATTAACCAACAGCAGCACCAACGTGCGCTGCACACTTAAAGACATAAAATCGTGATTTACCTTTGCTTATTTGAATTTTTTCCACCTCATCTTTTTTACTCATACATTATATTAACACACAAACATACATTAAAAGTATCAGCATTTTATTTTATTGTTGTTGGTTTTCATTTGTATTTTTTAATTTAATTTTTTTTATTTTAATTTTTTTAATTTTAATTTTCTTTATTTAGTTTTTATGGTTTTTCGTTTCGTTTTTTTTTTTTTGTTTTCAATTTTCTCTTCTCCGTTTAGTGTCAAGCTTGCCGAGTTGACACTCTGACACCAACGAAGTGGTGGTGGCGGCGTTGATGCTGTTGCTATTGCTGTCGGCGTCGGCTACGCGGCAGTGGTGTCAGCGTGTCGACATGTTGCTGCGCGCCAGCACCATAAATTGCTCGAAGCCGTGTTTAAAGCAGGTCGTGAGCCACACTTTCGGCTGGCTGTAGTTGAGCCGCCAAGTAAAGTTTCACGCCAGCCAAGTCAGAACTCTAGCTGCACCAGAGCGGCCGGGCTAGAACGAGTTCAAGTCAACCAGCAACTATTGTACAACAAAAAAAAAAACACGCACATGCGAAAACATACACACAAACGCCACTTACTCGCCACATATATACATACATACATACATACATATGTACATGTTTAAGAAATTATTTTTTTTGTATTATGTTGGGTACAAAAAAATTAAAAAATAATTTTTTTTTAATAAAAAAAAAAACAGAAACAAAAAACAATAACAAAAATATGCGAAATATGAAAATCGATCTTACAGACATTCATTCATTCATAAATTTTTATATTAGCAAATATTTTTGAATTGGCATTGTGTTCGTTGCGCTCCATTCAGCACTTGGCGCACTTAAATCTGAATAGTTTGAATGAATTTTATATTCAAATTTATTGTTGGTTTTTGTAATTCAATTCAATCAGCAGCCAATTGAGGTTTTGAAAGTCTCAAGCTGCTATACATACACATTTGCATATCACAACACTTGGCCACTCACATACATACATACCGACATATGGCATATCGAACAAAGTCGAGCTGAGCTGAGTAGTTGCGCACTGAAGTTCTAATGACAAGCATTTTATTAATGTTTATTTTTTGCTAATTCAATTTCTCAAAGTTTCAATTTTGCGATTTTGTTTTGAAATGCTGTCATAGTTCGTGGCTGTGACTGTACAACATCCGGTGCGAGATTGAATTTTTTTATTATTAATTTTTTTTTTTCAATTTTTTTTTTCAATTTTGTTATCCAATTTGTCAAGTTCAACAGCAGCAGCAACCTGAGTCAAACACATTTACACAACTATTCAAAGTATAAAACTATGTAGATGTGTGTATATATGTGAATACTTAAATTATTGTAGAAAAACTAAGCTGTGCGCTTGGCTATTTGTCTTTGAAATCGTTAACATTTATCTCAAAACAAGATTTTTTTTTACTCTTTTACTTCTACTTCTCTGTTCATTTAGAGCATATTGAATTACCAAGCAATTTGTTTCCACGGGTATGTGTTCACATTACGCAGTGTCATGAAAACCAATTTTTTCTAAGAACATATGTAATGAGTTTTTAAAAATATTTTTATTCGAATACTCAAGTCAATCGAGTGAAACACAAGTCTTCAACATGAAGCTACTAAGAAAACGCTGATGCGCTTAAGAATTAGTCAAGATTTAATCACTTTAATCAATACTCAAGCTATGTTACGTTAAAAAGTGTTCACAAAACAGTTACATCCGGAAAATTCAACCGAAGATTCTTTAGATTTCTCTGATAAAGGCAAGTCGACAGTTCTCACCCCTTGGATAGACTACATTTCATAGTTCTTTGTAGAAATCTTAGGCATATAACTAATGGATTTTCCAATAAGAGCTGTTATTTTGAATAGATTTTCCAGTGGATATTGCCTTTCGAGCTGTAATTTTTTGACTTTTGACGTGTGAAGATAGGATCTACGCCAACATTTCGATGTCAGTTCAAAACTTCAAAGATGGAACTCGTGAGACCTTCGAGCTCATACAATAGCCACTTTGCGATTTGGTGTTGTAACATTTCATAAATAGGATAGAGACTTGTAAAGGTAGCCGTGGCGGCTATTTCGCTAATATTTTTTCCATTGTTAATGTCATATTTTGGTGGTCACGGTGACCGAGCGGTCATGACACGACCAACATCAAAAAGTGTTCAAAAATTAATTGAAATAAAAAATATATTTAATTTTCTAATTGCATTCGCGCCTCGGCAGGGAAAGTCAAACACTTCGGGTGTTTTTCGGACATGAAATAAAGCTCCAAGTTGTAGGAGGAGCTCGTCTGAAAATTGCTTCAGCGGTTCAGGTGATCATTTATATAAAAGAAAAGCAATTTTTATTCGAAAAAGCGTATGTTAACTTTTGTTGGAAGTATTTGAGCAGAAGAAGCAGATTGAGCCCTCTCTTCTATGTACAATAGTTGAGTTGAAGCTTTGTGCCATCAAGCCAAACCTTCTTGAAAAGCTCTTGTAATGTGCTGCAACCTTCTCTAGTGACATTAAAATACCTGTTGGTATTGACGAAAGCCTGGTGACCTTGACATAAAAAAAATGGAACCGGGTGAGTCATACAAGTATTTAGGAGTAGTTGTGTAAATACTATGCAGATGCGGAAAAAACTGCTGACAGAGCTCAGAAAGCGACTTTATGCGAAAATGTATTAAACGGAATAAGTCATATATAGGCCAATAATTCGTCTGTTAGATTTGTGATATCGTATACGCAGCGGATAATTCGCTCAGTCATGTCTAAATATAAGGCTTATCCACTTTCAGGCTTTCAGTATTTCGAACGACATTGGCCAGATAATATGACAGAAGGGATCAAATTCAATTCGATGTGCTCTCATCAAATGTCTGAGGTCCATCAGGCCGTAAGATCCGCTGATAATAACTTCACTCTTCAACGAATGAAACAGCTTTATGAAAGTAGAAAAATCCATGGCGTACACTAAAAAGCCGACCAAAAGCTGTAGGACATAAACAGCGCCATATTCGTTGAAACAGAAAGCGCTATATTTTGCGATGAAGGATCCAAAATAAATCTTATGAAAGACAAACGAATACTCCAGAAACGCACATTATTGGCTTGTATCTGCTGCCAACAAATGAAATTTACTCCTTAACAGGATGCAATAAAAGGGGGAAAAAATAAAAAAATTTCATTCAAAGTTCTTATTATCAGATCGATAAAGGGAAGCTAGCTAACTTTTGAAATAGCAAGGTCTACTATGTCTACTGG